AAGTTCACAGACTCCTTAATTTTATTCACACAAATACTACTTAATTTGGTAGACACTGGAAAGCCATGAGAAGTTGATTAGAGAAATGATATGATTAGGAACTAGCAGCACATTGTAGGACAAATTGGAGAAGGGTGTGACAATGATAGTAGGTAAAAGGCCACTGCATTAGTTGTAACAACAGCCTAAACTAGGTAGCAGTTGTATGAATTTAAAAAGGGTGTAGGGAGTGGAAGCAAAGGTAACAAAGGGTAGAAGGGATTGGCACCTATCTGCATATGGTAGGGCAGGGGCCCTACTCAGAGTAGTATTAAGATGACTCAGGGGTTTTAAGCCTGGCTACCTGAAAGAATGGTAGAGTAAGAAGAAAAGACTAGGTTTGGGGGATGAAGGGAAGTTGAGAACAGAGATGATGAGCTTTAAAAGTGCTACAGTAAGTCTGAAATGCCCAGGAAGTAACTGGAAAAGCAGATCCTCAATAAAACCAGTCAACGTCTGTCCTCAGGGAATTTAAAATCTGGAATCTCGTTATAGCTAGAGATTTAGATTTAGTAGTGATTCTACCAGGTATTCCCTAATAGCTGGGGGAACAGACAAGAAGAGAAGACAAAAAGAAGTCTTCTCCAAGAAGAGAAGACAAAAAGTCCCATCAATTTAAGAACAGAATTTAAAAATATTCCAAATACTAAAAACCATTTGCAATGTCAACATCAAGTGGTAAAAACATTTTAACTTAAAAGAGTGGCTTTTAAAGAAAACATACCTTGATACCTTTAAATACATTTCTAGAAAAAGACAGTTTTTCAATCACATATATCATATAAACTTTAACTTGACCTTGCTATTCAAACTGTACTCTTTATAGAAGTATTTTAATTAATAAACTAAGAAAGAATAGTAGAATTAAAGGCATAGTTAAATTATTTCCATCTGCAAACCACTAGTGAAATAATGGAAATAGCTTGTTAACATAGCAGAAAGAGGGACAAATATCATACGCCTCCTTAAGGAAGTACACACTACTACCTGCCTGTTATAGCTGCCCGCCACCCCTGTACCCTCAGTCAGAAATCAAACCTGCTCAAAGTCTTCAATCTAGCTACCAATTTATAGGAAATACAAGGAACGGAAGGACATATTAAACTAGGACATGTTAAAACTATACCAAAGGGACATATTCATCAAAGCTCAGATGACCTGATTCCTTCAACAAATAAATTATGAGGAAAAAAGAGAAAGGGGACCCTTCTAGATTACAAAAGACATCCAACCAAATGCATGTAATGTGTGACCTTGTTTAGATCCCAAATGAAACCAACCAGTTATTTAAAACTAAGAAAATTTAAATATTCACTGGGGGGGAGGGGAGGCATGGGCAATATACATAACATTTGTACCCCCATAATAAGCTGAAATAAAAAATACTTGGTAATGTTAATTTCTAAAGGTGGGATAATGGTATTATAATTTTCTTGAGAGTCACCTTTCAGAGATATATGCTGAAATATTTACAAATGAAATAATTATATATAGGATTTGCTTCACAATAATACAGTAGGAACTGAGGAAAGTAGGTAGGGGTAGAGAAGAAATATGTGGCTCAACTGTTTGTGTTTTGAAATTTTCCATATTAAATTGTTCAGAAGGGAACCAATTAAGAAAAAAAACACTACTCTCAGTGTCACCAACAAATACAGAGAACAGGAATGAATTTGAATTTTGTCTCTAAGTGTTACAAACTGAGTAGCCCTGATCTAGTCACACAAAGGCCACACCTCTTAGTGTCCCCCTTTGATTAAAGAGACACACACCATTTAATAAATTCACATTTGCTCAAGCTAGAAATCTGGGTGATATCCTTAACTCCTCTGGCTTCCCGTCTCCATCTGGTTCCCCACCAAATCCTGCCTGTTTCCCTTTCTCCTCCCATCTTCTTACTACTGTCCATCTTGTCCATCACTGTGGTCTCACTCCACTCCAACAGCCTCCCTTTAACCTGTTCTCCACACTGTATCTAGAACGATGTTCCCAAAATGCAAACTCTGATCAGGCTATTACCATCCCCACTGAAAATCCTTAAACTGATTTCAGTAACTTTCAAGAGTGTTCCTGTAAATTTTTTTAGTCTCTTCCCCAATTTCTTAAAATGACTTGCAGCGCTCTCTATCTTCTACCTTTTGAATTTCCATCTCTTCCCATTCTCTCTGACCCCTTTATGCTTTAGCTTTGGTGAAATTCTTTCAGCTCTTGTACTGCACCCTGTACTCTGACTACAGTTTCAGTACTCATGTCTGGAATGCTCTTTCCACCCATCACTCCTTTGACTAGCTAGCTCCTACTCATCCTTCAAGTCTCAGGTTAAATAGCATTTCCTCAGAGAGGTCTACCCAGGTTGCTTCTATACTAATTTGATGTCTTCTCATACCTACACAATATTTGTTCCTACAGGAACCTATACCTACTCTATCATAACACTCCATACTTGTTTATAAAGAGTACCTGGTGTGATAGTTATATATTTATCTGTTTTCCAGCTAGACTATAAACTCTGGGAAAGCAAGTCCTAGAATTTGTTCACTGCTGAATCCTAAGTCTCTCATAGTGCCAGGTAGCCAATAAGAAATTGCTGAATATATAAAATTTACAACTTTCTGGACTAGTTTCTCGAAAGACAAATTCCATCTTCCTAGTCCTCCTCATCTGCAACAAAAACAGACAGCCATGAAGACATCTATACGGAGTCTGAATCCTGCATAATAGGAATGCACATTATGAAGTGAATTGAAAACACTATGGGAATGAGGGACAGACATAAGAAGTTGAGAAAAGTTATTACTCTAAAATTTATTTTCATTACAGATTAATTGAACCTTTGGTAAAAAGAAAAAATTAAAAGGAAAAAGTAAAACTCTATTTTGAGACTGAGATCATTTGTATCCATATTTACAATCTTGGAGAAAACTCAGGAGTGTCCAATCCTGTATAATAGGAATGCACATTATTAAGTGAACTGAAAACACTATGGGAATGAGGCACAGACATAAGAAATTGAGAAAAGTTATTACTCTAAAATTTATTTTCATTACAGATTAATTGAACCTTTGGTAAAAAGAAAAAATAAAAAGTAAAACTCTATTTTGAGACTGAGATCATTTGTATCCATATTTACAATCTTAGAGAAAACTCAGGAGTGCCCAATCTTACAAAAATGGGAGTCAAATAACACACATAGTTCCCACCCAATCCTTAACAAGTTTTCAGACCTAAAAGGGTAGGTCACTTAACCTCTCCAGCCTCAGTTTCCTTATCTGTAAAATAAAGGAACCTGACCTTTATTTTGGTCATTATATTCTTTCCAGAGCTAATATTATATGTCTTAATATTTAAAAGGCCAAAAGATATACAAACTATTGAAACACTAACCAGTTAGTTTCATCCTATGGTGGTATGATCCTTTTCTCCTTGTTAATCTGTTTAGGGATGTTACAGGCTATTTTATGTTAAGCTTCCAACTAAATCTTTAAATCTATTCAGCTATAAATATCTCATAAAATGCTCCTCAGATCATTAACTTGTACATTCAACAAGGGTCACTGTAATCTCATGAGACAACAGCATCTATCTAAACCCAGAATGAATTACTAAAATGAATATATGCAATTTTTGTTTAAATAAAAATCTAAGCACTACATGTTTTAAGTGCTAGATGTCTTGGATTCTTGATCATTTCTATGGCAATCTGAAGGCAAAGTTGTACCCCAGGGTATAACATTGTATTTATGGGTACTATTTAACACCTAATTAAAAAACTTAAGATACATAGTTTATGCTTCACCTCGCTGAGCTGGTAGCTGAGAACAAAAATTGTTTATTAATGGCGTAATTCCTCTCATACTTTTCCAAACTCTCACACAACTCACACAAAATTCCAGTAGTTACTAATCCCACACTTATTTTATTGGGGGAATGATGTGTACACATTTTATCTCAAAGCCAGAATACTTTTTGAAAAAATTTCAAAACTAGTTATAATAAATAAAGTAGCTTGTAAACATTTTACTGTTATCAGTAGAAACCCAGTTCTACAGTCACCCAATGGAAACCCGGGGAAAGACCAAAGTAGTAACAAGTTTGTTTCCTGGTTTAGATTAATTACAAACTAATTTGGCAACTGCTTCTTGCACCAAATATATCCCGACAAAGAAACGAAATGTTAAAATGCACGCGGGGAAAAAAGATGTACTTGGAACAAAAAGCGTGCATCTGACCGGTGTAACGCTACCCTTCAGATTCGTCTCAACAGGGCCGCTCTAAGTCCAGGAGCTGGAGGGCACAGCGGCGGACATTCGGCAGCCACAGGTTGAATGACAAAGAGCCCCCGTCAGCGCCAGTCCCGGGAGCCTGAGGCTGCCACATCCCCTCCGCGGAGTCCCTCCGAACCCTGCAGTCACGCCTCGGCTGCGGGGAATGCGGCTTCCCTTATCACTCTCCAAAGTCACCTGGTGGGACAAGGATCAGCGGCCGAGAAGGCAGGGGCAGACTCGCCAGGAATCCAAAATAATCCCGCCCTGAGTCCCTTCCCTTGGAGCAGAAAGCGGCCAGGAGAGTCTGGAGGTACACGTGAAGCAGCCCCACGTCGTCCCTATTCAAGATCACAGCATCTCTGGAGGGAGCTTGCTTAAGACTAGAGGGGAAGCGACATCCCCAAGGTCACTGGGCACCGCGACCCAACTCCTCAGCCAGGCCAGTCAGCGGCAGGCACCTGACTGCGGGCCCGCGGCTAGCCCGGGAGAAGCGCTGTCCCCGGCGCCTCAAGGTCCCCTTCAACAACGCGGCGCGCTGGGGCCACGCGGCCGCCCGTGGCCACGATGTCGTCGGTCGGGCCACCTCCCTCCCCCACAGGCGAGGTCTCCCCGCTCCCGAGGTCTCTCCTACCCCACCAGGGCGGAGAGGGCACCGCGGGTTCCACGCCGAACCCCGCCGGCTGCTACCCAACTGACCGTTATGTGCGCGGCTCGCGGCGCCCAGCGTGTGCGTGACGCTGCGGAGCAGGCTGGAGTTCCGCGGGGCCGGGGGTCTGGCTCGCGTTCTTCGCCCGCTGCCTTGTTCGCGCGTTCGAGCACCCACTTGGCCGGCCGGTTAGTCACGTCCCAGCTCGCCACTTTGTCTTCTCCGGCCGGCACGGCCGCCTTATAACCCGCGGAGGCCGGAGCATGCGCACAGGGGGCGGAGCCGGCCCTCCGGGCCGCCGGCCCCTCCCCGCCATACATACAGCCGAACTGCAACTCGCGCCTCCGCAAGCTCCCCGCCGCGCGCGCCCGTTCGCTCGCCCGCCCGCCCGCCCGCCCGTGCGCGCAGACGCCCCCTCCCCGCCACGTGACCTGCAGCCCCGCCAGACCCGCGCGCCGCGCCCCTGCTCTGCGCTTCCGAGCCGCCACGCTCCGCCAGGCTGGCCTCTCAGCCCCTGTCGGAGGAGCCCGCGGCGACCTGCACGCGTTCCGGCACGAGCGTCGGTCTCACCCCTCGGTTTCTGGCAGAGAAATGGAAAACCCGCCGGGAGGCCTGACCCTGGGATGTGGGGGGCGACGGGCGCGCCGAGGAGCCGGGAAGCGGCTGAAGAGGAGGACGGGGCAGCATTTGAAGGGACGCGGGGCCGCTCGGACCCGGGAAGGCGCCCCGCGGCCGGCGCCTTAGAGCCCGGGCTGCGGACTCGGACGTGTGTGGATTCCAGTCCGGGCCTGGCGCTTTAGTTCTCTGACCTCGGGGAAGTTACTCAAGCCCTCTGGGCCTGTTTCCTCATCTCTAACGTGGCAGGAGTAGTAGACCCGATTTCGTAGGCCGTTAGGAGGTTCTGAGGAGAGACTGTGGAACTTTGTCACCACAGAGCCTGGCCTGTGGCGTTGGTGAATGGTGGGGATTAAGGACTAGTCGGGAAAGAAGAGCAGGTAAGAGGGTGGGGGAGCGGCCGCCCGGGTAGGCGGTGCGCGTGGAACGTGGAGCCAGGAGGCTGCGGAGAGGCCAGATGTTGATGGACGGTTCGTTGAGGGCAAGATAGAATTATAGCTCGCAGCGTTGGGCTGATGACACGCTCGCCTGAATTATCTTGTATCATCCTCACAGCTCTATGAAGTGGGTACTGTTACGAATAGTTTATAAATAAGGGACTTGAGGCTCAGAGAAGTGAAGTGACTTTCCAGACGTTGCAGAGCTAGTAGTGGCCAACATTCGAAGTCAGACTCCAGAGCCTGTTTTTGTCATAAGAGCCATTGTGATCAGATAACCAAAGTGTGTCAAAGTTTAAATAATCATGAAGTCTCTCTGATGCCCAGGACTTTTGAGAAATAACCAAAAAAGTATGTATCAAGGTCACTGCCTTCAAAGAGCTTACAAGTTTTCAGGGGAGATTGAGTTAGGAACAAATCAACCAACATTTATTGAGCACTTGCTGCATGCCAGGACCCTGCCTGCCCCCCCAAGTACTCCTTCTCCCCTTGGCTGCACACTTAATTCTCACAACAACCCTATAATTAAGCCCTATAGTTTCCGTTTTGCATATGGAGAACCTGAGATTGACGAGGAGTGAGGATTGGAGGAGGATCAGGTCCTTTCCAATAACAATTTGATATGTTAGTAGAAGATTGTATAGAATCCATGGCCAAGTGCTGCTTATGAGTAATACAGTAATTACTTTTTACAACTGATAAATGCAGAGAAGGGGAGGTCATTTCAGGTCACTGGGATAGCCAGGATTTAGGAGTGCTTAAGCATTGTAAGATAAGAGTGGCAGCAGCGTTCAAGTAGATGGTCAGGAGAATCAAGTTAGGGAGAGCATAGGAGACTCATTCAGGTGTGAATTTCTTAGGGCCTGCACTATGGAATGTAGTGGAAAATGGTAAAATAAAATGGTTCCCAGGACACCTCAAAAGAAGGCTCATAGAGCACCCTAGTGTGGTAGATTCACAATATGGACCTGGGAGCCAGATCTCCTGAGTCCCAATTTTGATACTTCTGCCTACTAGCTCTGTGCCCTTTACCTTTCTGAACCTCACTCTCCATTCTAATAATACCTATCTCATAAAATTATTGTGATAATAAAATTAGCATTTATTTCAGTGTCTAATATATAGTAAGCACTAAATGTATAACCATGGAAAAAGCAGATTTTCCATGAAACTTAACCCTAAAGTCCTTTCACTTGAATATATCCTCCAAGGCCCTGAGAGGGGTCGTAACAGTATGTTCACAAGGTCATATTTTGTGTTAAGTTGTAATTTTGTACTCCTTTTCCTGAAGATAGCCACCAAAATCATAGACACAGTAGGCCCTACAAACCCTTGATCTATCTCTGATAAGGATTTTAGTGTTGTGAAAAAGAGTATAGAGTTTGGAATTAGAAGACCTGATCCCATAATTACTGTCCGTTTTACTCTGGGCAATTGATTCACTGAACTTTTCTGGGCTTCAGTTCCCTAATTGGGTAAATTGAAGATAAACACCCACAGGCCTGAGCTGTTGTGTTGATCAAATGAAATATTTGCAAAAGTGATTGGTAAAACTAAGAAAGTGCTCTGCAAGGTTTTATGAATTTATAATTTGTCTATAAATGCATATGAGGGAAAAAATCAAAAGCAATTCCAAAGCTCTTAGCTGGAAAAGTAGAAACGGGGCGGGTGGGTGAGCTGGTGAAAATGATGAAATACAGGTAAAATTTTTGCTCTTCTGCCAGGTTTTCTTTCTGATTTAAGCCATGAGATGTTGAAGAAATAAACTAGGAGGCGTAGGATCAGAAATTAGAGCTGAGAGGAGGTTGGAGATCATCTAGCACACCTCTCACTTTTTACCAAAATGGTAATAAGGCCAAGAAGAGCTAACATACTTTTCTGGGCCGGGCTTGGTGGTTTACCCCTGTAATCCTAGCATTCTGGGTGGCTGAGGCGGGCGGGAGGATCATTAAAGGTCAGGAGTTGGAAACCAGCCTGAGCAAGAGTGAGACCCCATCTCCACTAAAAATAGAAAGAAATTAATTGGCCAACTAAAAATATATAGAAAAAAAAAATTTGCCAGGCATGGTGGCACATGCCTGAGTCCCAGCTACTGGGGAGCCTGAGGCAGAAGGATTGCATGAGCCCAGGAGTTTGAGGTTGCTGTCAGCTAGGCTGATGCCAAGGCACTCTAGCCTGGACAACAGAGTGAGACTCTGTCTCAAAAAAAAAAAAAAAACTTTTCTGAGGCCGCCCATTTAATGAATGGCATGATCAGATGAGCCAGATCATGAAGCCCCAGGTTCTTACTGTACCAAGTAAAAATCTTTTAAGAGAAAAGCATTTTGTCATGGTGGTCCTTCAGAATCATTACATTAAAACCAGAGACGCCATGGTGCTCTCCGGTGGCTTTTAGCTTTATCACAAAATTCCCAGGATTCACATTTGTTTTAAAGGTTGATAGATTGGATGATGCTATACACTTGTTTGCAAGCCTGTTAAGTGAGAAAAACTTGTGAAGATTTCAAGGGAAGAATTATAATTTCAGAAATTAGTTATAGAATGAGAAATGTAAAATTTGAAAATCATAACAATGTAGTTACTCTTCAAGCTGAGTAAGTTACTCAATTGCTTTATTTGGAAAAAAAACAAAATTACAATGTGTTTTCTCTGGAATTCACCTACTTCATTTACATTCCCTTTGTTATTCATCATTTTTATGATGTAGGAAATAGGTAACATTTTACTAACAATAAACAATACAGGAAAGGATTTTTTTTTTAAATTCACACTTTGTACATATTTGTGGGGTACAGTTTGATGTCTCCACATATATATGTTGTATACTGTTAAAATCAAGGTATTTAGTATATCCATCACCTCATATATTTACTTCTTTGTGGTGAGAACATTCAAAAGCCTCTCTTCTAGCTAGTATATAATATACAATACCTTCTGTTAGCTGGATGCAGCAGTTCATGCCTATAATCCTAGCACTCTGGCAGGCCAAGGCAGGAGGATCACCTGAGGGCAGGAGTTCAAGACCAGCCTGAGCAAGAGTGAGATCCCGTCTCTACTAAAAACAGAAAAAATTAGCTGGCCAACTAAAAACAGAAACAAAAAATTAGCTGGGTGTGGTGGTAAGCGCCTGTAGTCCCAGCTACTTGGGAGGCTGAGACAGGAGGATCACTTGAGCCCCGGGAGTTTGAGGTTGCTATGAGCTAGGCTAATGCCATGACACTCTGGCCTGGGCAACAGAGCAAGGCTCTGTCTCAAAACAAAAACAAAAATAAAAACAACTTACTGTTTACCATTATCAACCCTACTGTGTAATAAAATACAAGAACTTATTCCTCCTATTTAATTGTCACTTTGTATCCGTTAACCAACTTCTTCCCATCCTCCCCAACCCTCTCCCCTCTCCAGTCTTTGGTAGCCACTGTTCTCTTGCTGCTAGCATATAAACTCTTTTTTTAAAAATTTGATTCCACATTAGTGAGATCATATGGCATTTGTCTTTCTGTGTCTAGCTTATTTCACTTAACATTATGTCCAGGTTCATTCATCTTGTCACAAATGGCAGGATTTCATTTTTTTATGGCTGAATAGTATTCCATTTTCTTTATCCAGTCATTCACTGTTGGACATTTGGGTTGATTCCATATCTTGGCTATTGTAAATAATGCTACATTAAACATGAGAGTGCAGATATCTCTTCAACATACTGATTTCATTTCCTTCAAATATATACCCAGCAGTGAGATTTCTAGCTCATAAAGTAAATATGTTTAAGTGTTCCCTTTGCTCCATTTCCTTGCCAACACTTGTTTTCTTTTGTCTTTTTATTAATAGCCATTCTAACTGGAGTGAGGTGGTATCTCATTATGGTTTTTATTTGCATTTCCCTGATAATTAATGATATTGAGCATTTTTTCATGTACACGTTGGCCCTTGTATGTCATCTTTTGAGAAATGTCTATTAAGTCTTTTGCCCATTTTTTAATCAACGTTGTTTTTTGTTGTTAAATTCTTTATATATTCTGGATATTGACCTCTTGTTAAGTGTATAGTTTGCATATATTTTCTTCCATTCTGTAAATTGTCTCCACTTTGTTAATTTGTTTCCTTTGTGGGTGTAAAAGCTTTTCAGTTTGGTGTAATCCCATTTGTCTATTTTTGCTTTTGTTATCTGTGCTTTTGAAGTGTTATTTTAAAAATCTTTCCCCAGCCCAGTGTCATAAAGCATTTCCCCTGTTTTCTTCTGGTAGTTTCATAATTTCCAGTTTTACATTTAAGTCTATAATCTATTTTGAGTTGATTTGTGTATACAGTGAGAGGTAGGGATGTAGTCTCATTCTTCTGTATGTTGCTATCCAGTTTTCCTAGAACCATTTAATAAAGAGACTGTCTTTCTCTCAATGTGTGTTCTTGGCACCTTTGTCAAAAATCAGTTGGCTGTAGGTGTGTGAATTTATTTCTGGGCTCTCTATTCCATTGGGCTATGTGTCTTATAGCCTTGTAGTATATTTTGAAGTCAGGTACCGTGATGCCTCTAGCTATGTTCTTTTTGCTCAAGACTGCTTTGGCTATTCGGGGTCTTTTGTGGTTCCATATGAGTTTTAGAATTGTCTTTTCTGTTTCTGTGAAGTATGGCTTTGGTATTTTGGTAGGGATTGCATTAAATCCGTAGACTGTTTTGGGTAGTATGGCCACTTTAGCAATATTAATTCTTCCAATGTACGAACATGGGCTATCTCTCCGTTTGTGTTGTCTTCAGTTTCTTTCATCAGTGTTTTATAGTTTTCAATGTAGAAATCTTTCAACCCCTTGGTTAAGTTGATTCCTAAGTATCTTTTTTTTTTTTATAGCTATTGTAAATGGAATTGCTTTCTCGATTTCTTTTAGGAAAGGATTCTTTTTAAACATAATACTTAATCAATTAAGAATACTCTCCCACATTGACAATTTATAATAATTTAATAGGGAATATGGAAAATGAAATTTGCTTTTAAACCATGTATGGAAAAAGGGTTTGCTAAGCAATTACCTAAAGGAGATAAACATTCTTCTTTAAGTTGAGAGTCCTCTCATTCAGAATATCTTCATCTAATTTCATGTTATATGTCAAATGTAGTCCTGCTACTTCCCGAGTAGCAGTAATCAATTGCTTCTCAGGCTCTCTGCTGGCATGAGATGATTTGGCCAAAACAGTTTGGTAGAAAACAAATTGCTTGTGATAAAACTTTATTCAACATGAAAAATTAGTCAAAAATTATTGACTACTAGTTTTTTACGTGTTTAGTCATATTGGTGGTCAAGGATTTGCTTTGCTACTTCTTTGGATCTTTGAGAATTGTTTTGGTACACATACA